GCAAGGACGCTACTAGGGGCTCCTGGCCCTACTACTAAGAACAAGAACACTACTAGGAACAAAGGGCATCGCTACTAGGAGCAAGGACGCTACTTGGGGCTCCTGGCCTTACGACTAAGAACAAGAACACTACTAGGAACAAAGGGCATCGCTACTAGGAGTAAGGACGCTACTAGGAACGAAGGGCGTCGCTACTAGGAGCAAGGACGCTACTAGGGGCCCCTGGCCCTACTACTAGGAACAAGAACGCTACTAGGAACAAAGGGCATCGCTACTAGGAGCAACGACGCTACTAGGGGCTCCTGGCCTTACTACTAGGAACAAGAACGCTACTAGGAACGAAGGGCGTCGCTAGGCATTCTGGCCCAAAGCTGCTTGCCTCACGGCCACCGGGGGCCCGCGGTCCGTGCGACTTGCTGCGAGGCGAGCGTCGACAGAGACCGGTCGCCACCCGACTGGTCATCCGTCTTCTTGACCTGTTGGTGTGGTGTTTAGCCCCGGTTTCGCGCCATGAAAGAGTTGGAGGTGGTGCTGGAGGGTCTTCGTGACCCCTGTTGGTCCGCGAGGACTCGTGGGGGAACGATGGCGTTGGTGACTTTGATTTTGGAGACCAAACTGAGTTTGCGATCCCAAACAACAGGCTTACGGTCATTCCCATCTTGCTCCGCGCCCACTGGTGTGCAGTCGAAGTCAACAAGGCCAGCCATCTTGTTACTGTCGGGGTGCTTGGATTTCCTGGCCCATACTTCCACTCTGTTGTTGCGGCTGTTGCGAGACTACTTGACTTTCACCCTAGCAGGCTTGCTGCGTCCACTGTTGCTGCGCCGGCCTTTCCCCACATGTGTGGGTGGGTCCTTCTCGACCGATGGATTCGAGCAAGGACCCTGCTTTGGGTTCGGAGTATAAGAGGCTGGTGCTTCTGTTTCCTCTGCACGGTTCGATCACCTACAGTCTACCCAAACCGTCAGTGTCGCTCACTGCTAACTGAAGTCGTTGCAGAGATTGACACAAGGCTCCTTTCGCTGCAAGAGATTGATGCAGTCAAAGCTGGTCCTCTGGACTACATCCGATGCACTGTGTTCGCACAACACCCTTCCTTCCTTGAAGGATTCGCTCGCCTTTTACGCTCTGCGAGTGGGAAAGCACCCTACCGCCGACAAGAATGACGTCCAATGGCAGTGTATTATCAAAACGCCTTTGAAGAAGCGTCATGAGCTGCTTGCCTCCAGTGGGATCCAAACGGTCTTCCTCCGGGATTACATTGACAAGCAACACAGCCATGAAGACCTGTCGGTCGTTCCGAAGTTCTGGCCACCCACAGCACGCGATTTAGCTGAAATTCGCATTGTGATTCAAAATACCGCAGGCTTCGCGGGAATTGCCTTGACAAGGCGCGGCCTTGCAGTGCGTGGAATGACAACATTGCTTGCATTTGCCGGGCAGTCCTGCCGATGGACCTGCGGTTGACCAGGAAAACATGTCCATTGTGCCGAGATTTCCCTTCAAATTAAGTGGCTGGCCCCCAGCAATCGAACCGTGTTTCGTGGTGACCTCGACTCATCAGGCCACTGGGCACGCGCCCATCCCCACTCGGGCGTTTCGCACAGGGGGGGTATACAGCTGTGGAGCCTTGCCTTCGATACAAAGCCCACTGTGCTCCGTTTCACCTTGGATATCAACGGAAGCACGTTCGAGATCCTTTTGGTTGAAGAGAACATGATGAAGCAGCAGTAACAGTCGCATCCCAAGCCTCCCAAGCAGTCCGGTGGCGTTCCACCCAGTACGGGTCCCCTTCCTTCGGGCCCATTCGTACCAGTTTCAACTCTAGCTGCCGACAATCAGCGAATTGCCAAGCTTGAGGAGCGTTTTGACCAGCTAGAACAACGGCAGGTCAGGGTCGAAAGCAAGGTTGATGCTCGCTTTGAAGAAATCTCATCATCTTTGCGTCAGCTTTTAACAAGCTTCGCAAACGCGAACTCGAGACCCTTCCGGTGAAACTCCTGCCCCAAAGCATCCCCGCAATGAAGGCTCGCTTTGATGGTGTTCGCCAGTGCGGTCTGCCTGGCCGCTTTTTCGTTCCTTGGGTTTTCTCTCTCTGCCGGTTTCGCCTTCTCCTTGAGGGTTTGCGACTTTGCTCGCTTTCTTTGTTTGGCCGCCTCGCCGTCTGTCTGGCCTGTGGCCCGGCTCGCCGTGCTGGCTTTGGGCCGTGCAATGTGCTTGCTGTGCATTGTGCTTGGGGTGACCATCTTGGCTTTTCGAGCTCTTCAAGGGGTTCATTTTCTTTGCTTCCCCTCTGGGACCAATTCATGCCGGTCCATACTCTTAGCAGTCACTATCCTTTGGATTTTTGATTTTGAGTTGCTGGCCCCGATCAGTGTCCGCTGGAACTATGTTTTGACACATCTTCTTGTACGTTGTCGTTGCCTTGCACTGGCCTTTTGGGTTTTGTTTCTCTCAGCCGTGTCCGCACTTGTCAAGCTTTTGCGTTCGATTGCAGTTTTTATCCTAATTAGTTTGCACCGTGACGAAGCGCCGAAGTGCCCAAAACAACTTTTTGAGTGGCGGCTCCTTGCGATGTACTAGGTTCCTGTGCAGGGTTTCCCAATGTCTTTTGATTCCACTCGAGGTTTTCCAGGTGAAGGCCCTGAATCCTCCAAGCACTTTCCTCGGAGCACCACGTTCTCACACGAGCCAAGCAGGTCATTCTCAACAAACCAGGACCTGCGTCCCCACTTAATAAAAGACTCATCACTATTTTATCCCCCATGTTGTTGGCGTATACTGGTACTCGTTTTCGACAGTTGCAAGAATGGCAAAACAGGGTTTTCCCCGCTGTTCTTTGCAGAGGGGTTAAAAACAGAGATATGACTGATGTCAGTGTGGGATTGCGTGTTGAATTTGGCTCTGCTCAAGCGTCCAATGATGCAATCGTTGGCATTAAGCTCGATCAATCCAAGTGCTTCGATCGATTGATCCCAGACTTCACTGCAGCTCTTTTTCTGGCTTTTGGCATGCCTAAGGGGATTGTGAATGTTTTTGTCAAAATGTACTCTTCGTTGAAGCGCCATTTATCATATCGGGGGTGGGTCTCTAGTACTGCGACAACCGCCTCAAACGGGGCGGCGCAGGGCCGCAGCCTGTCCCTCCTTGCCATCAACGTTCACATGGCGGTTTGGTCTAAATTCATGAGCCTCATCCCGCATGTGTGTTGCCGTGTATTCATCGATGACGCTTACCTCTGGGTCGGTTTGTCCAAGGTCAACCACCTTGCTACGGCTCTTCAGGTCACTGAACAATGGAATGCCCTCATTGGTCAAAAGTTGAATCCCACCAAAAGTTCTCTTTGGGCCTCCAACTCCAAGGCTAGGAAGAGTGCTAAGAAGCTTTTTCCTACAATTCCCCTGGTGTTGGAATTTGATGCTCTTGGTGCTAAGATTTATACCTCCCAACGAGAGGCTTTTCAATTTCCAGATCAAAAGGTTGTCAAGATTGGCAATGACACTAAGAACATTGCTGCCTTGCCCACTCCAACCAAGGTCAAATGTCAGCTCATCGCCTCGAAATCATCCCGCAGTGTACATTTGCTGCTGACATCTCGTCCATTCCGAAGCTGTCAAGTGCCAAAATCGAAAGTGAAATCGCCAATGCCATTTGGGGTCGCAGACCGCATTGGCGAGCACGGATGCTCATTTTTACTTTCTTGTGCAATCCATGCTTCGTGCATCCTCAAGTGGCCAGAGCCTATGTCACAGTGTGTAACATTTGGCGTTTTGACCACAGAAACCCCTTGGTTGTTTCCAAATTGCAAGGTTTGTATTCTTCAAGTGTCCATTCCAAGCATAGTCTTATTGCTCATTTCCGTGATGCTTTGCGTGTTTTTCATTGTGCACTCTTGCCAGACCTCAGCATTGGAATTGGATCTTCCAAATTTCAGATCTTGGACGTGACCTCCAAAGACCTCCGAGGTTTGTTGCATGCTTTGGGCAGACAATTTTGCTATGAAAAGACTAATTATAACTCCCGGAAAGACTTTAAGAAGCCTTCAGGGTTAGTTGACTTACGGCTTTCCCTTGCCTTCAAACATCGACCGCCTAAACATGTCAACCCCAAAGATGTCATGTGCCATTTTGATGCACAACTAGTTGGGTGTACAATTACCAATGACAGGCGAGCCGCAGCCGGCTTCACTGATTCTGCCATGTGCCGTTTTTGCCTCCAAACCAAGGAGTCTCTGCTGCACATCATCAAGGAATGCCCAGCTGCGCCTGCGTTCCTTGCGGGACTTCCCCACCACGAGCTGGGGCAAAATTTCTCGGGTTTAGGAGTCGTTGAGCACCCTGCCGCCATTGCATCCCAGCGCACTCAGATCTTGAAATTACCAGTCTTTGATGAGGCTGGCTTCGACCCTGCGGCTGAGGAACTTACATGGTTTACAGATGGGTCTGTCGTGCTCCGAGAATCTTTCTGGCTCACGGCCGCCGCTTATGCAATCTTTGATGAAAAGGAACAGTTGGTGGCATCAGCACCAGTCAGACACATAGCTCTGGCTGCCTACACGGCTGAACTTTTCGCCTTGGCGGTTGCCATCACTCTGGCCCCTGCACGTGTAAGGGTTTTTACAGACTGCAAAACCATTGTGGACCTGTTTTATGACATGCTTCAACATGATGCTGTGTCTCCCCAGTGGAGTCATGCACCACTTTGGCGTGCGATTTTGCGAGTTTGGCAAAGGAAGACAAGCAAATGTGAAAATCCTGTTCATGTTGTGTGGCTCCCAGCCCATACATGTGACAACCGACCATTCGAGCAGATTGGGCTCCATGAGCCCTTTCCTGGAGGATTGTGGGGTTGGCAGATTCGTGCAAATAGAAAAGCTGATGAAGAAGCCAAGCGCCTGGCAAAACAATATGCCGCGTTTCAAGTCGATATGTGGCCCACTGTTTTTCATGCAGCTTGGACACGCCAAGAAGCATTGGTGAAGCTCAATCAGACCATCGGCTCTGAAGGGGTGGTAAAGAAAGTTTTCCAAACAAAGGAAGAGGATGCTCAGCATGACAACAGTGATGAATGCCGATCTCGATTTCCTTCTTGGGACTGGACGCCGAACAGCGCACTTTTCACTTGGACTGCCCAACCAGAGTGTTCAGGTGCCATGCACATTCAGCAGTTGTGCGACTATAACGATGCTGATCAGTTTTTGGCCTTTCTGCACTCGCTTAAATGGCACGTTGCTGAGCATTGTTCAGTCGCATACGTGGAGATCGCTCATCTGTCGAAAGTATACATTGGCAAAACTGAGTCCACAGGACACTTTTGGCAAGTTGGCACAGCTCTTCAAAAAATGGTGTGACTCCATTTTCAAACAACCAGTGCAGCTCTTACTGCCGGGCAAAGACCGTCCGGATCACTGCCATCCTTCTGCCTAAAGGCATGATCCAAGGAGCGCGACCGCTCTTCTCGGAGCAAGAACTACGGCATTTAGCTTTGTTGCTCTTAGCTGGTGCGGGACGCACACTCAAGTCCTGGGATTTTTCGTTAGCAGACCATGGTGCTTAATTCATCTTTGGCTTGTTCTCATTTCGGTTCACTTTTTCGCCATCCGTCCAGAGTGTCGGTGGTGTCGTCAGACTTTCATGACTGGCAGACATGGTGGAACAAAGGGCATCGCTACTAGGAGCAAGGACGCTACTAGGGGCTCCTGGCCTTACTACTAGGAACAAGAACGCTACTAGGAGCAATTTACATAAGCCGTTTCGATGTGTCTGGAATCTTGCTGGTGGCGCAGCGCTGCAAAACACCATCAGGTGGTGTGTGCTCAGCGCTGATGGCGCTTGGAATGGACCACATGTGGATTTGGTACCACCCGCTTTACAGGAGTGAGGGAGGTGATGGCTCTTGTTCGCTGGTGCTATATTTCGAACAGTTCGTGCTTAGGCAACATCCGCTAGCAAAGCACCCCGAAGATGGGTGCCCTCAAAGAAGGGTGAACATGAAACAAGCTGCTACGATTCGAAAGGCAGTGTTTCTTGCGGACACACTGGAGGAGTTTCATGACTTAGATTCCTAAGGTTCACAGCTCAGAAGCTGTCCTTTTCACAAAGCTTACAAACCCTATATCACATATAATCCATTGCTATCGTTCTTCTCGTCTTCTCATACTTTTAGCACTCGGCTACTTTATGGGTCGCTCCTACTGAATTAAATATAGGTATCCGGGGTTGATGATCATCTGCAACGCACATTGAGAAGGCGTATTGTGCAGCAATGACAGCAATGACAAGAAACCGCACAGAACCAGCCAGCGATATTCTAGACCTGCTTGGTGCATCGAGTTACAGGCTTAGCCAAAGCGTAAAAGCCTTATCGGAGAAGGCGGCCTATTTTCGATAGCCTAAGTCAGTATTGGCCAACTCAACTTGCGACTTCCAGCATAGAAATGAAGTTCGACAAGTGGTGAGCGTTTTGATTTTACACTTTTCTTCGCCTGCTTAGCAGTCAACTCCGCATTCACAAAGTTTGGGATGCGGTGGTGCACTGGTCGCGGGTTTGCAGCAATGTCATTCTCCTCCATGTAATCCCAGATCCTGCCGACTGGAGGCAACAAACATCATTCGGAGTTTCTTGCAAACATACAGAACATATCGAGGTAAAGAACAACAATAATAGCACAAACATATTGCAATCGACCTTCTACTTTAGTCTTCCAGAAAACTGTGAGGTGATGCTTTGCTGGCAAAATGCTCACTCAATTACATGTCCTCATGCACTCTCACAAACAACGTTATTAATTACACTCTGTCATCGCCTCTGACGTATCTTCCACTTCCATGCGCCACGATCACCTGATCCAGCTGCCTCTGCTTCTTCCACTGCTTTCATGTGCGCAGCCATGCCTAGAATCTTCTAGGCGGCACAAACGCTTGAATCAAACAGCTCAAAAGAACAAGTAACGATCACTTTTGAGACATTAACTCAGTGAAGCTATGATCTCTATGTAAAGCTGAGTGTGTCCTTGGTGACTAAAACTGCCCAAGCAGTAGAAGAAACAGAGTCGCCCTGACAAACAAAACAAACATGTTTGGTCGTTTTACGTCAAAAAGTATGTGTCAGGTGACGGTCTCGCGACTGTTGGTCCAGTCTCAAACGATCTTCTTCCGTTTCCATGGCACGCTAAGCCTGAAGTCGAAGGAACCGATACCGAAGTCGTATACGTTCAGAGGATCGGGATCGGGATAGATCGATTGCCGATGTTCTTGAGGACGTGACGTTTGACACACCATAGCTTCATGCTTCAATCTTCGCTTGAGATGATATGCGGCCAAGAGGGCAAAAACAACATTCCCACCGCCTCTCGGTAGATCCACAAATTGCCTTGCAGCCTTCGACTCATGATGACGCCCAACGGTGTTTATGAAGATATATATATATAATATATATGAAGCATGGACATCCGAACTGCTTTACTCTCTACCCCAAGCTATCTTGAGACGCAAAATGTATTGAGCTACGTAGGAGCTCAGGAACAGGAAGTGCATGCGTTGATGCCAAACAGCTTTGCGAAGCATCTTGCTTCACGAAATATGCAAAGAATGGGGGAGCAACGCTGCATGGAGCTTGGGCAGGAACCTGTAGGGCCTCCCACAAGATATGGATGGGCGATGGGCTGCTGACAATCATATCAAGCCATTGCAGGATGTGTTGTGTTATGGACATTCGGTTCACATCGGAAGTGCTCAGAATAAAAAGACTAAGACACATCCAGTTCGAGAAACACATCAGTCAAAAGGGATCAGAAAGGCAAGACGCGGACTCTACAACTCCAAAACACTTCGGCTATTCTGCCGTGCATCCTTGAGAGGAGAGTTAAGCTTGATTCTCGAGGTGTGAGGCATGTCAAAAAAAGCTTCCGAATCCTGTGGGAGGGCCCTCACATCTGCGAAAATCGCTTGAACGGCATGCCAGTTCAAGGAAATGGCAGCGCAGTCACAAGCGGCTCGGGCATTGATCAAAAATCAAAACCTCTGAGCTCAACTCCTTGTGGTGGCCTTTGGCCCACCTTCAAACAGAAGCTCTGTAGCAGCAAGATGCGCATTAAGCACCCGTAGAACTACGGTTCCTGGCGACAAAAGGTTTACTGTAACCTTCAATGTTGGATGCTCCAGAACTCTCACATGCTGCTAAACCTTGTTTGGCTGAGCACCGGCAACATGTGGCTACCTTTGCCCCACATCCAGGCCTGCAATTGCAGGAATCCGAGCGTTGCTTAGCAATGCTCGGTGTGAGGAAGTGTCCAAAGCGTGCCCTTTGCCACTAGTGCCAGCCGCAAGCTGTGCAAGCTGCGCAAACTGTAAGCGCACCAAACTATACAACTGAGACAAAACGCATATCTACAAAATACTAAAGCAGAAGAAGTCTAAGAGAAAGTAAGATCACAAGCATCACGAGGCGTAACGCCTTGGCCTTAATCTGCGCTTTAAAAGCACGCCTTGTCGGATTCATCGAGAATTACTGTGACTCACTGCGACTGCTGCTGTTGTGCGAACTGCTCATCCTCAAAGCACGCAGGTGCATGCATCGTAAACAAAATAACTCAAGATAGGTATCTGTTGATGTTCACTTTTCACTCTCTGACACATAGAGCAAACATGAGCAAGCAACACCAAGTTATCAGTTTCATGCTATCTGCAAAAACTTTCCGTTGCATCCACCTTCACCGCGTCCCGCACGCCCCCCCAACCCTTTTGCAACCCAGGTTCACATCGCTGTCCGCAATCTTCTTGCCAAGCATTTTTTGAAGTGATTTCTGAATCCTTGGCTATTGAATGCACTCAAAATCATGTTTGGCAAACACTTGTGAGGTCAGGTCGTTAGTTTTATTACAAGAACCTTGATCAGACTCAATAACTGAAGGGTCACACAAACTTTAGCTATGCCACGTCCTCTGAATCATCCTTGGGAAGCGAACTCCGCCCATCTAGAAATCCACTCTCGCAAGGTGTCCACAACTTTCGCTCGCCAACAAGTTCAAGGCAAGTCCTCTCAGATGTGAAAGGTTTATGTGAGGACTTGTCTCATGCATCCGAGACGCTTCTCCGTACTGCTTTCCTCATCACGGGTCTTCTCTGGCCATGGAAGGGAGGGATCGGTCTGTCCTCCAAACCTCACGATCTGGTCCTACAAAGCAGGCCACGCTTAGAAGTGCTTTTCACGAGGTGAATGGACGGAACATGCGCAGTCCTTGGTAACGGGATGGGCCAAAGCAGGCTCGAAAACTTTGACGCCTCCAGGTCTCCAAGTCGTTTTAAAACGTAGATCGACCTTTATGTCCGTTAAGATGTCATCCATTTGCGCAAACTTTCTACAATGATGTGACATGGCACCCATGGCGTCATGTTCTCCGCATGGTCAGCAGGTCAACATCAAGCGTCATCCGCTTTTCGATGCTCCGATCGTGCTTTCATAGCGCCTCCAGCGAGGCCTAGATCCCCTTCTTCGAAATCGACACGGCGATCCAAGGCCAAGGAAGCCACAAAGGACTTCCAACGCTTCATCTGGACCGCCTGACCGACCAGTCAAAGAAGAGAAGGGCAAATATAATATCACACAGTAGGTGATCTAATGCAGTATTCCAACCCAAGAGCGATGGCCTCCATCCTACAGTATGTAACCCAATACAGCTCAATGTAATCTATAATCTTAAGATTGCAGCGCAAAGGGCTCGAGGAAAAACGGAAGTCCAACAACCAAGGCTCAAACAAAGTGCTCAGCGCGCTCTTCTCTCAGGATCTCAGACCAGCCAGCACAATCCCCAAGCCCGCGCGGCGTAAGTTGCCCCTCAGTTGGAACACTTGCAGCGCCATGGCTGTCAGTGCACAGCACACTTGCCTGGTCCCCAACAGCTTGTGCCAGGTCGACACGGCGCTCAGCTCGTTGAAGGCCGACACCATTGGAGCTCGCTCCAGAGAAAGCGACCTCTAAAGTTCTGATCCTCCGCCTCAAGGATCGACGGAACCTCAGCGTCGTTTGACCCAACAGCTTTGCGCTTCAGCTTCCAGGTCCTCAGGAGAGGAGGAGCATGGGGGCGACCTGTCCCTTCAATGCCAATGGCGTGGTTGCCAACGTCACAGGCCACCAGTAGAGTCGCCCTGGGGGCGATTCAAGCGCGACTGGTCATCCATGAAGACAAAGCAGGCCTTCTCACGCCCTTGAAAGGGAAGGGGAAGAACTCTCGGTCAGGAGCAAGTTGCGTCTGGCGCAGATTTGAGGTAGACTCTGGATAGGTGCCAAGACTTGCTGAGGCTGCCATCTTGCCGTAGGCGATCTGGAGAGATGTCCACGTCCACCAGTGTCTCGATGTAGGAGTCCTGGTCAATGGTGATCTTGAAAGAGCCATCGTCAAGGCGGACTGCCTTGAGCCTATACATGTTCTTTTTTCGCAGTTCCCTATTAGTAGCCCATCACACCAAGAAGGCGTGGATGTCCAGTTTCACGGACTTCAATCTTTGAAAACCAGGCCCACAAGCAACGCTCTCCCAGGATGGGAGTCGCGCCAAGGCTCACAAGAGTGCGGTGCAGGTCCAGCCACAAGCCAGGGGGCGCCGTTGTGCTCCCATAGATGTTGCGAACACCAATGCGCAAGGCATCGCGCAGTTCACGCCAGGCGCTTGTGAACAGCTTCATTCTTGAGGAAGGAGTCCACCTCTTTGGTCTTGGCTCGTTCACAAAGAGCTCGATCATAGGGTGAGAGCTTCTGCAGTTGAAAAAGGCAGAGAAGGCATCAATCTTCTGATTCCAGTTTGGCATCTTGCTCAAGCTGCCCAATCCAGCAAAGGTCACAGTCGGCGCGCTTGGCTCGCTTGGGGTCAGGTTCTTCAAGATGAGGTGCAGCTGAAGAAGCTTCTGCAGTCTCTTCGGTTGGGGATTCCGGCTCATACTCATTGACCATGTCTGAGAAATACTCAAAGGTCACCTTGGACTTTGCTTTGGGACATAGCTGGCCGGAAGCGTAGAAGAACTCAAGCTGAGGAGCGATGAACCAGTCGCCAGTCTTCTGGCGTCAGGTCTGATTGTGTGCAGCTCATCGAGTTGGCATCATCGTGGTGTCATCAGGTTCTGGAGGAAAATATTGAGTTTCTGGTTGGTCAGGAGGTGGTGCTTCATCAGTGATGTCCACAAACGCTCTCGCTGAGGCAGGACGTCCGACAGTGACTTCCGCTTGGCGATATCTTCTCGATGGTGTAGATCATGGTGAAGTCGCCCAGTTGGAACCACAGGGCAGACTGAATTCACACTGCGTCCCAACAGCTTCCCAGACATCGGAACCCATACGATGTGGCATCGATGGTCATCTTGAGGTTGGTAAGGTAGTATTTCGGTGAAGATTACGCGTCCATGGCCAACCCGGCCAGGTCGGCTCCTCTTCTTCCTTCCCCCGCGAGGTCCAGTGTGAACATCACGTGGTAGCGCTTGACGCCATACCTTGCGAAGAGTGTCCAAGATTCTTTACGAACGGCTTTTCACTGCGACTTGCTCAGCTCGTTGCTGCGCGACCACCAAAGAAGCATAGGTCGCCCGATCACCAAGGTGCGCCATGATTGTCGCAATGGCTTCTTCGGCCACGACCAGGGAGCGGTAACAAAGCTTTGTTCTGCCACTTTCAAAACAAACAGCTTGCGGTCATCACATCCTCAATCCCAAGCTGCCACATTTTGTGCTCAAAAACCGTAGGCGCGAGCGAACACCAAGGTTAGAAAAGATTCGCACTTCTAGTCAGCTTGGCTGGTCCAGAAGCAAGCTACCTCAACGCAAGGTAGTCATCCTCACCCACAAGGGCGGGAAAAAGAGGAACGGAGGTCCAGTTGGGGCGGGTCACGAAATCAAACCACAAATGTGCAATCGCCTGCTCAAGAAGGGTCGTGAAAAAGTTTTTCCCGCTGGACGGATTGCAGTTTCGTTTGCCTTCGATTTTGTTTCATTCATGCCCAGCCTGCATTCACTACACAAAAGCCGCATAGCAACAACGTCGGCTATATTGTGGCAATGGCTTCTTCGGCCACGACTAGGGAGTGGTAACAAAGCTTTGTTCTGCCACTTTCAAAACAAATAGCCTGCGGTCATCACACCCTCGCAATCCCAAGCTGCTACATTTTGTGCTCAAAAACCGTAGGCGCCAGCAAGCACCAAGGTTAGAAAAGATTCGCACTTCTACTTCAACACAAGGTAGTCATCCTCACCCACCTCAGTACACTGGCGGCTTACCGTAGCCGCTACGGCGACAGCCACGAATTAAAGTTTTCTGATCCAGCAGAGGATTCAGACATGCAACCGCCAGAAAGCAATTCAACACGCTGCCAATGGCCTTGCACAGTCAGACCCCGAAGTCAGCATTCCAAAGCGCCCTCCAGACTGCACTTCTCGACGCGCGTCGCAAATAACAAGCGTCAACACACCCACTACCACACAATCAGCCTTCAAGCCCGGAAAGTATGGATGGACGTGTGTTGCTGGCTGAGACTGTACAATCAAAGCAAATTCACAAGGGTCAGAAAGACTCATTCGCACCAATGCGCATCATGTCAGATGCTGAACGCAAGGCAGAACAGCGCGAACGAATGAAAATGACCTACGCCGGCGAGTTGCCTGGCGCCACGCACTGACGGCGCTGGATCTTCGAAATCTTACGGGTTCCCCGTGAAGGCTTGTCTGCAGCATCCTCGGCAGAAGGGACCAGAATCAAGTAGACCTGCAAATCTCCAGCCATTTCCAAAGGCGCCGCCTTTGCCGCCTTTCGCAAAAGGCGGTTGAGTTGGGACGATGACCTTCCCTTTGCCGCTGCGCCCAACCAAACAGAACTGTCCACGAGCGCCACTACCCTGGAACAGTGGCGTTTTCATCTCCGAAGAAGCCATCGCAACCACAGTAGAAAAGCTTCGTCTTCCAACACATTGATATGAGATGCAAAACGACTTTTGACACTAAAAACGTCAACGAAATCATCCAAGCTCAAATCAAGGTGGTGGGCATGTCCTAGACGCTTTGCTTCTGAGCTGTCAGTGCCACCGTCCAGGACTACATAGTCACCCTGCTTCTCAAAAATCCGCGCGGGTCTGCGAATCATGTCAGTCGGCAGGCGCGCCACGCTGCCCCCAAATCCGAATTCGGTGCTAGCATCCGGTGCAGACAAGAGCGGCAAAAACGGTTTCCGAAGATCGACTTTCCAAAACACTCCAAGCAACATACCAACACCAAGTTCAAACAACACTTCGCGAGGGAGGAGTCGTGGGGGTCCCGCGCAAACTGGTAAACTTTGTCATGCACAGCCAACTTGCAACGTCGCAGCAAATCAAACCATTGTTGGACTCCCAGTTGTTGATGTACCTGCTTTGGCGAAGCTTCAGCGCACGACAGAAGGTGTATCATTCCCACAAGCATTGCCAGACAACGAGCACATGGAATGCCCAGGTGCGTGCCATTCTCAAGGGCGACACCAACACATATGGCTGAGAGCTCGTCATTGACATCCTTAGCTGGGTTGCGCAGAACACCACGCCTGATCATTTCACCGACGTCATCTGTGGCTGCTGCAAACACTACATCAGATGACAAAGGCGTTGCAGTTTGACAGGATAAGATGCAAGACTCCGACAAACCAGCTGAATGGCAAACATCCAATAGAAATTCCTGGGCAACAAAAGAGCTCCAAGCAAATCCCATAGGCCATGTGCGACTAACAGCGCAAAATCTTGACCCGACCAGAAATTCACCCTGCAACAAGCAAGCCTCGACCTCTGCCAGCGACATTCCACCAATGTTGCACAGGTCGTTGAAGCTGACCCATGGTCTGCCCATCCATCGCTGCAGTGCAGGAGGCAAGGCCAGCTGATCAAACCAGCAGGTTGCATCTCGCTTACTGCAGCGGAAGAGCCTTCCAGGCTTGCGCTCCAGATAAGTCAATGCGGTTGGTGACGCCAAGCGCCGTGGTTTGCAAGGGAGGCCTCACTGCCGCCGACGACACCCTCCGACCACGCCACACAGCGCGTTGACGTTTGCCACCAGGTTTGCCTACAGCAATCACGGCGCCGCCACCACAGGGCTTTGATGTCAAGCCGAATTGATTGGAGCGCAGCTGTCGGACCACAAGCTTCACGTACTCCTCTCGATCAGACGCTGCCACATCCTCAAAAACTGCCAAGCCACGGGGCGCATCTGCAAACATGCGCTGTTCGCTGCAAACTGTTTGTTGCGCATCACGCGGCAAACAAGACACAGGATCGCATCGCCCTGCGTGTGGCAGGACATCGACTTGTTCAGCGAGCAGCCCACCATACTTCGGTCCATGAGGTCGCTTTGGTAGTGGCACCCACTCAGGCACAAGCATTTCCCAAGTGTCGGCGAAGCACCTTGCTCCGTCGCAGCATTGTTTTCCGTCTGCGCTTTTTGTACCACCGGATGATGCGCCGGGGTTTGCAACCGGTCATGGAAATCAACACATCGTAGCACAAGTCGTTGCGCAACATCTTCTTGTGCTGCTGTGCAGCGGCAGCACTGATCTCCACCAGTT